AGTTTAGGGATAGTGTTAGGGTTAGGGTTTTAGTTTAGGGATAGTGTTAGGGTTCGGGTTAGAGTTTAAGTATAGTGCTAGGGTTCCACCTGTGAGTCCCCTGATAAAATCATTCTTAAAAAAAAAGAGAGAGAGGTGCAGAGTCTGGCAGGCGCATAGTATTTGGAGTGCTGGACTCCCACATCGCCGACCACAGTTCGAGTCCCAGACCTGGCGGCTTGTTTTCTCACTTTCCCTTTCTCTCTCTCGCTGGTCAAATTTTAAAAATAATAATAATAAATAAAATTTTAAAATAATTAAAAAAAAAAACAAGAGCAGATGAATCAGGCAAATGCAGAGTGAGAGAGAGAGATACATCTGTACCTACATTGGCTAAGAAAGGACCAGCCTGGGCTCCTCCTTCTGGAGCTCGGGTGCAGGAATGACAGTGTCCCGCACATAAGCTGGTGGGAAGGAAAACCAGTGAGTGATAACCAAGTATCAGTCGTGACTGAGAGGCTGGGGACACCTCGCTGGGGGTCGACTCCCTACGTGGAGTGGAAAGCACTAAGCAACGTGTGTAGCCAGCCTGTGGGGCCGTACTGCTTCTTGGAAGAGGGGGTTCCTGGTGGGCAGTGGGGTGCGGTGGGAGCAGGCAGGCTGGTAGTTTTGCAATGCAGAGAGAGCTCCCTTCAACAGATGATAGGAAGGCATGGCACGGCGTAAGTGGGACCGTGATGTGCACTGGTTGTATTTTATTTCCTAATTTTTTTTTTTAGGTTTTTGCCCTAGGGTAGGTGTGCTCACTGGAGAGAGAGAGAGAGAGAGAGGGGGGAAAAGTGAAAATCACGCCTCACACACACCCAGAGGGGATAGATATGCTGCAATCCTTTTTCCTCCATTTTCCTCTCGGGATTTTGGGCACGCATACCTGGCGTGACTTTCAAGCCACCAGAACTCCATCCATGGGTGGCCATATGGGAATCCAGCGCCTTAACCAACACGTCACCTGCTGGCCCCTGATTTGTATTTTTGAAGGAATTAATCGCCTAGTTTTATTTAGAGTTATTATGTTTTAATTTGTTGTAAGTCACATGCAATCAGAAGATGAGAAAGCAAGCTGCCAATCTGGGACTTGAACTACTGTTGGCCATGTGGGAGTCCAGTGCCTTAATTGCCATGCCATCTGCTGGCCTCCCCTGATTTGTACTTTTTTTTTTTTTTTTTGGAGAGATTTTTCGCTATAGGGTGCGTGTGCTTGCCAGAGAGACAGAGAGAGACATAGAGACAGAAAGCGAGAAATCCACCCCCAGGGGGGATGGCCACACCACAATCCCTTCTCCTCCATTCTCCTCTCGGGATCTTGGGCACGCATGCACATGCGCCTGGCATGAGTTTTAAACCACTGGGTCCGGGATGCGAACCGCGGTCGACTATGTGGGAGTCCAGCGACATAGCCATTACGCTAACTGCTGGTTCCCCCCGATTTGTACTTTAAGAGCTCTTCTTGCCTGGCTTCTCGCCTGGAGAATGGAGTCCTGTTCCCCGTGCAGATACACACCAGGCTGGTGCCGCACCGGCTCCCAGCCACTCAGCAGTGTCCCGGCTCTGCCCCTGTTCGTTTTCCAGATGCACGTACGGTGTTTCTGTGTAGGTTACATCCTACTCCTTTGGTGGAGGCAGTGGTGACGTGGCAGCAGGGATATTTGAAAGAATAAATCGCAGGGATCAGCAGATGGCGTAAAGGCTGCATTGCTGGACTCTCACCCAGTGGACTGCAGTTTGAGTCCCAGACCCAGTGGCTTAAACTTACACCGGGCACGTGTGCGTGCGTGCCCAAGATCCCGAGAGGAGAATGGAGGAGAAGGGATTGTGGTGTGGCCATCCCCCCTGGGGGTGATTTCTCACTTTCCCTCTCACTGTCTACATCTCACAGTGGGTTTGGTACAAAGGATGGACCATGATAAACTGAACTGCTACTTCATTATAAACTGAAATCTACAGTTTATTTAGGTTTTTAGTTTAATTTCTCTGGTATACATTTTCATTCGGGACACCACTGTATTTAAAAAATGTTTACATTTAGGAACCAGTAGGTGGCGTGGTGGTTAAGGTGCTAGATCCCACGTGGCCAACAGCAGTTCAAGTCCCAGATCTGACGGCGTCAAAATCATCCCGGGTGCATGCGTGTGTGTGTGCCCAAAATCCCAGGAGGAGCATGGAAGAGAAGGGATTATGGCATGGCCATCCCCCTTGGGGGGTGATTCCTCCTTCCCCCTTTTCTGTCTCTGTTTCTTTCTCGCGAGCGCATGCACCCTATAACCAAAAGTCCTTAAAAAAAATTAAGCTTGCATTTATATATTTGGTTCTCTTCTCTCTCTCGATAGGTGTACAATATGTTTCAGCACCAGAGCCTTGGAGTGAAAATTAACATTCAAGTCACCAAGCTTGTCCTGCTACGACAACGTCCTGTAAGTCTCCAGGGGCACCTTTCAGGCACGTGGGAAATGTAGCTAGTCTCAAAGCTTCCCAGCTGCGGGCCCTTGCTCTGGAGGGCTCTGGGTGGCCATCTGTCTCATTGGCTTTCTCTGGCCTTGCGGATGGCCACAGTGCAAGGGAGAATAGATACTAGAAGCATAGTGTGTGCAGACATTCTTGGTGTAATGGCTATGTCGCTGGACTCCCATGTAGTCGACCACGGTTTGAGTCCCGGACCCGGTGGCTTAAGCTCAAGCCGGGCGTGTGTGCGTGCGTGCCCAAAATCCCGAGAGGAGAATGGAGGAGAAGGGATTGCAGTGTGGCCATCCCCCCTGGGGGGTGATTTCTTGCTTTCTGTCTGTCTCTCTCTTTCTAGCTAGCATGTGCACCCTATAGAACATCGGGGCGCCTCTGAGCTATGAGCTCACACACACACATACCACCACTCCTGGAGGGCTTCCCATGGGGCAAAGCTTCATGGGGAGGTCTTTGGAATCATGGCTTCTCTTTCAGAAGAATACCTGAGCTACAGCCCCATATAAATTCATCATAGTGTCATTTCCCGATTTCAGACCTGCCCCAGGACAGTGTCACCTGCAGGTCTAGCAATAAATTTGAGGACGGAGGGAATGCTCTTTGGTTTGGTACACTGTTTTGTTGGTAGAAAAGAACACTTTTCTCTTTCTGTTTCATTTTGCTGAAGAGGGCATGCACTCACTGGAGAGAGAGATCGTGAAAAAGAATCCCACCCCCCCCCCATGGGGATGGTCACCCTGCACTCCCTTCTCCTCCATATCTGCCTCCCTTTGAAATTTTGGATGTACACCACACACACCTTGCATGTTTCTCAAGACGCCAGATCTGAGACCTGAACTGTGCAGTCAGCCACGTGGGATCTAGCTTCCCTAACCACTACACCACCAGCTGGTCTAAATACTTGTCTTTAAAGCAGTCTTTGTGGGACCAGCAGGTGGCATGGTGGTTGAGACCCTGGACTCCCACTTGACTGACTCTGGTTCAAGTCCCGGACCTGGTATATTGAAACTCACACGGTGTACATGTGCGTGCATGCCTAAGGTCCCTAGGGGAGAATGGAGGAGAAGGCTTTGAGGCGTGGCCATCCCCCTGGGGGTGATTTCTCACTTTCTCTGTCTGCGTCTCTGGCTTATAGCAAAATCGATCAATCAGTCGGTATTTGTTTGGACTGATACATAAGCCTCTGATGGTCAAAGTGCTTCTTAGCCCTAGGCTTTGATCTGGGCGCAGTGTGGCATGAAATGACATCTCTTTAACCTCCTTCCTGGAGACGGACAGAGCTCTGGCTCCCCCAGCGCTCAAGGCCTCTGATTGCTTTTAGGCCAGGCTGTCCATTGGGCACCACGGTGAGCGGTCCCTGGAGAGCTTCTGCCACTGGCAGAATGAGGAGTACGGAGGCGCCCGCTACCTTGGCAACAACCAGGTCCCCGGAGGGAAGGACGACACGCCCCCTGTGGACGCTGCCGTGTTTGTAACCAGGTAAGAGTGGATCACGCTTGCAACCAACATGCAGGGGGGAAGACATGGCCCCCTGAGGAGGAACTAGGGTGTGTCATTAAGGATTCAGCGTTGAGGGGCCAGCAGGTGGCATGGTGGTTAAGGTGCTAGATTCCTATACAGTCGACCGCAGTTCAAGTCCTGGACCCAGGGGCTGGAAAATCACGCTGGGGGTGGGGGCGGGGGACCAGCAGCTGGTGTAATGGTTATGTTGCTGAACTCCCATGGAGTCAACCACAGTTCGAATCTGGACCTGGAGGCTTAGAACTCATGCCGGGCGCGTGTGCGTGCGTGCTCAAGATCCAGAGAGGAGAATGGAGGAGAAGGGATTGCAATGTGGCCATCCTCTCTGGTGGTGGTGGGGGGTTATTTCTCGCATTCTGTCTCTTTGTCTCTCTGTCTCTCCAGCAAGCGCACGTGCCCTATAGCAAAAATCTCTCTTGGGGAAAAAAAAAGAAAGAAAATTTGTATCCTATGGCAAAAACTTAGAAAATTAAAGAAAAAACAAATCAACCTTGTTTGAGATTATGGTCTGGGCTTTGGGTTCCTGTCCAGTAAAATGGGATTAATGACAGGAGCCTCCCAGGAGGCTTCAAAAAGTTCGTGGAGTGCCAACAGAGGCATCGTGGTTAAGGTGCTGGACTCCACATGGCTGACCATGGTTTGAATCCTGGACTTAACAGCTTGCTTTGTCACTTTCTCTCTCTTTCTCTCTCTCTCTCTCTCTCTCTCTCTGGTGAGCATATGTCCCCTACAGCAAATCAAAACTAATAATGATGATAAATTAAAAATTTTTTTTAAAGTTTGTGGAAAATGCTCATTATGAAAAGCTAGGTGTGGATTTCACAAAATTGTACACCACGTTAAATTTGAACTTTAAATCCATGTTTTCTACAGACTTTCTATTTGTGTGTGTGTGTGTGTGTGTGTGTGTGTTTTAACAGATTTTTGCAATAGGGCATGTGCGCTCCCCAAAGAGAGAGAAAGCAAGGAATCACCCCCCCCCCCAGGGGCGATGGCCACACCACAATAACTTCTCCTTCACCCTCCTGGGATTTTGGACACACACACACACACACACACACACACACACACATGCTTGCTCAGACTGAGTTTAAGCCACCGGGTCCAGGACTTGAACCATGGCTGGCTTTCTCACTTTCCTTCTCTCTCTCTGTCTCTCTCTGGTCAACTTCAATAAAACAAAAATTAAAAAATTAAATAATGACAATGAATAAAATTGAATTAAATAAGTCTTTTTTAAAAAGGAACTATTTTGGGGACCAGCAGTTAGCGTAATGGCTATGTCGCTGGACTCCCATGTAGTTGACCGCGGTTCGCGTCCCGGACCTGGTGGCTTAAACTCACACCGGGCGCATGTATGTGTGTGCCCAAGATCCCGAGAGGAGAATGGAGGAGAAGGGATTGCGGCGTGGCCATCCCCCCGGGGGGGTGATTTCTTGCTTTCTGTCTCTCTGTCACTCTCTCTGTCCTTCTGGCGAGCGCAAGCGCCTTATAACAAAAACCTCTGAAAATAAAAATAAATTAACATGACTGATTCTCCAAATCATACTTACGGTCTAAGAGAAGTTTTGCTGGAGAGAAGTTCAAAGGGCCTTCATGTCTGAGTATCTCTACCTTCCACGGTCCCTCCTTGGGAAGCAGTTTTTATAATACTGTAAAGAGCTGTATAAACTCTGGAGTTTGGTTTTTTTTAAAAAATGCTAAGAGCGTGTGGGAATTTCCCCTGCATTGTTTTCTCTGTTGCCTGCTGTTTCCGTTCATTGTCTGGGTGGAGAAAGCATGTGTAAGTGCTCTTGGGTGTGAAGAGGGCTTTTTTCAGAGCCAGTTCATGGCGCCAAGATGAGTATTGATAAAGCTTCAGGAATGGCACCTTTCTAGTGTGCTCCTGGCATGGGCTAGCTAGGTGGTGTGGTGGTTAAGGCAGCTGGATTCTGCATGGCAGAGTGCATGGTTCGAGTCCTGGACTCAGCAACTAGGAGGATAGGCTGCTCATGTCTGCCTGAAGTCCCTAGGGGAGAAGGGATTGTGGGATGGCCATCCCCAAGGGGTGACTTCTCTGTGTCTCTTTCTGTCTGTCTCTGGCAAGTGCACATGCCCTATAGAAAAAACTTAAAAAAAAAAAAAAAAAAAAAGGGAGAGGAGGAGGAGCCAGAAGATGGCATAGTGGTTATATCGCCGGACTCCAACATGGTCGACCATGGTTCGAGTCTCGAACCCGGCAGCTTGAAATTCACACCGGGAGCATGTGCATGCGTGCCCCCAATTTTTTTTTTTTTCTGCAGCTTACTCTCATTAAGCCATCTACTGCAAAAAATAATAAAAATAAGAAGAAACAGAAAATAACAAGTATTGGAAGGATATGGAGAAATTGGAGTTTTTATGTAGTGTTGGTTGGTTTTCAGAGCCACTATAGAAAACAGTATGGCAATTCCTCGAGAAAGTTAAAATAGGCCCAACCTGTGGTGTGGTGATTAAGGTGACTAAGCGCCACATGCCAAAGTGTGTGGTTTGAGTCCTAGCCCCGGAGGCCTGAAAATCACACTGGACGCATGTGCGTGTGTGCCCAAAATCCTGAGAGGAGAATGGAGGAGAAGGAACTGCAGTGTGGCCATCCCCCCGGGGGTTGATTTCTCCACACTCCACTCCCCTGTCTCTGTCTCTCTCTGCAGGCACCCATGCCCTATTGCAAATTAAAAATAGATAAATAAAATGAAAGTTAAAACAGAGACACACCCAGCAATTCCACTTTGGGGTGTATAACGAAAAGAATTGAAAACAGGGTTCATAAGGGAGATTTGTGCACGGCGGGCATCTCATAGTGACATCACTCACCGTAGCCCGAAGGTGGGAGCAGCCCACGTGTGCGTCGACAGATGAACGGATAGACACATGTGGTCTGTACAGACAGACGGAGAGTTTTCAGCTTAAAAAAGAAGGAAGTTCTGGGGCCAGCAGAGAGCGTGTGTGCCCAAAATCCTGAGAGGAGAATGGAGGAGAAGGAACTGCAGTGTGGCCATCCCCCCGGGGGTTGATTTCTCCACACTCCACTCCCCTGTCTCTGTCTCTCTCTGCAGGCACCCATGCCCTATTGCAAATTAAAAATAGATAAATAAAATGAAAGTTAAAACAGAGACACACCCAGCAATTCCACTTTGGGGTGTATAACGAAAAGAATTGAAAACAGGGTTCATAAGGGAGATTTGTGCACGGCGGGCATCTCATAGTGACATCACTCACCGTAGCCCGAAGGTGGGAGCAGCCCACGTGTGCGTCGACAGATGAACGGATAGACACATGTGGTCTGTACAGACAGACGGAGAGTTTTCAGCTTAAAAAAGAAGGAAGTTCTGGGGCCAGCAGAGAGCGTGGTGGTTAAGGTGCTGGATTTGCATAAAGCCAACGGCAGTTCAAGTCCTGGACCCAGCGACTTGAAAATCACACTGGGCAGTGGGCGTGTGTGCCCTAAGTCCCAAGAGCATAATGGAGGAGAAGGGATTGCGGCATGGCCCTTCTCTCTGGAGGGCTGGTATATCACTTTCCCTCTTTCTGTTTCTCTCTGCTAAGTGCATGCACCCTATGGCAAAAAAAAAAAAAAAAAAGGAAGGAAATTCTAATGCTTGCTACAACATGGATGAACCTTGAGGATATTATACCGAAGTGAAATAAGCCACTCTGGTGTCTGGAGTACTCAGTTTCAGAGGAAGAAGGCGGGGATGGTGACAAGGGGTTGAGGGTTGGTATGGGGTGATGTCCTTTAAGGGGTACAGTTTTTTTTTTTTTTTGTGGTGGGGAGAGGTTTTTGCTATAGGGTGTGCGTTCACCAGAAAGACAGAGAGAGACAGAGAGACAGAAAGTGAGAAATCCCCCCCCGGCGGGGAGTGGGCATGCCTCAATCCCTTCTCCTCCATTCTCCTCTCGGGATCTTGGACACGCACGCACACACGCCTGGCGTGAGTTTAAGCCACCAGGTCCGGGACTTGAACCGTGGTCGACTACATGGGAGTCCAGCGACATAGCCATTACGCCAACTGCTGGTCCCTAAGGGGTACAGTGTCCGTTTAGAATGACAGCCATGTTCTGGAGGTGCATGATGCTAATTGTCGTATGACGATGCGAATGTAATTCACTTTTGAACTGCACCCCAAAGGGTTAAGGTGGTGATTTTATATGTCCTTTTCTTTCTTTCTTTCTTTTTTTATTGTTAAAGTGCATGGATGCCTACCAGAGACAGAGAGAGAGAGAGAGAGAGCCTCCTCGAAGGGGACGTGGCCACACTGCCATTCATTCTTCATTTCTCCATCCTGTTGAGTTATTCTTTTGTTTTTCAGGTTTTTGCCTTAGGGAACGTGCACTCTCCAGAGAGAGAGAGAGACAGAGACAGAGGGAAAGTAAGAAATCACTCCGTAGAGAGGATGGCCATGCCGCAGTCCCTTCTCCTCCATTCTCCTCCTGGGATCTTGGACACACACGTACCTAGAGTGAGTTTCAAGCCACTGGGTCCAGGACTTGACCCATGGTCAGCCATGAGAGAGTCCAGTGACTTAATCACTATGTCATCTATCGGCCCCATCCTGTTGAGATCTGGAATATATGTACACACACACACACTATTGATTTTCAAGCTGCCAGGACTAGGATTCGAACCACAAACAGCCATGTGGGACCCAGCTCCCGTAACCACTAGACCATGAGCCAACCCTCAAGGGTCTTTTCTGACTCCATGGGGAAAGGGCCCAGAGCCACACCCATAGGTGGGTAGGGTGTAAATGGAGGGAGGAGGTGTCCTCCCCCAGGGACAAGGAAAATGAGGCGTCCTCAGTGGCAGGACTGCGGCTTGTCATTATGGCCAGCCCGGGAGCTACTCTTCCTTCTCCTCCTCCTGACACCCCGAAGCTACCAGGCAATCTCGATTCCTCCCACCTGCTTCTGTGGAGGGGCTGGACTGAACGGATCGTCGCATGACTGTCCTCTGGGTCCTCACAGATGTGGAAGGGAACCCCCCTGCCAGGACAGGCCGGCAGCATTGGAGCCAGGCAGGAAGCCGACTTGGCGTGGCCCCCGTGCGATAATTAGAAGCCAGCGCTCCAGTTCCCTCCATCCGGGAGAACAATGGGCCGATGTTTTCACGAGGAAATCGGGGGCGAGGTAGCGGCTCCTCTCAAGAAGCAGCCTTTTCCTCCCATGGTGATCTGAGCTGAGGCCACGCAGGCTAGCCAGCGTTCAGGGCCAGCAGCCCCATTTCCTGAGCCTGGGGCAGGCCAACGCCAAGGTTTCTTCTGTCTCCTTTTCCCCTATTGCTGCGACTGCGCCGTGGTGCACCTGCTGGAAGCCCACTCACAGGAGAAGGGGCCAGGAGGATGCGAGCATGACGTCACACCCTGCAGAAGCCACTGAGCCAGGAGTGGGGGAAGCTGGATTTTCAGCGGCTGTGTCTGGGACTCGGGAAGACCTCTGTGTGGACTGAGTCTGGGGCCATATGAGGTCCCCATGGAGGGTCAGGGCTTCAGACAGCTGCAGACTTGGCATGGCTTTCCTTTTGGATCTGCACGTGACCCAGAAAACCAGGAATGGGGGATTTCTGCTTCAAGTGTAGTTCTGGGCGCCTGCTGAGGGGGACGGGGCGAGACAGACACCAGGAGCAAACATGCCAGCCGGCTTGTACCTCCTCCTCCAGGGACCTCCATCAGCGCCCCCTGGATCTCCTATTGGATGGTTGGTCTGACTGTGCGTGTGGAAGGATCGCTTGAAGCCTGGCCAGGCTTCCCTGATGGTGAGAGCTCAGAGAGTATTTATGGGATGTGGAGCCTCTTAAACCAGGTTTCTGAACCCAGAGATGCACAAGCACTGCAAACTTGCAGGGCTCATTGAAAGGGATGAGGCCGGCAGGTGACATGGTGGTTAAGGGCGCTGGACTCCCACATGGCCGAGTGTGGTTCAAGTCCCGGACCTGGCAGCTTGCTTTTTCACTTTCCCTCTCTCTCTTACTCTCTCTGTCCCTTTCTACTCAAATCAAAAATAAATAAATAAAGTTAAGTAAAAGAATTCTTTAAAAAAGTAAAGAAAAAGAAAGGGATCTATTAGGTCTTCACAAAAGTCATGACATATTTTTCTATGCAAAAATGCATCATGACTTTTCCAATGACCCAGTAGATATGCCACTTAACAGCCTAGCTAAAGATGAAAAAAAATAAATAAATAAAGAACAACAAGTGCTGGCGAGTCTGAAGTGAAAAGGAAACCCTCCTACACAGCGTTGGTGGAAACGTGAAGTGGCCCAGCCACTGTGGAGAATAATACGAAGGTTCCTGAAAGACCTACAAACAGAACTACCATCTGACCCAGTAATTCCACTCCTGGGTATTTACCCAAAGGACAGGAAGACACTCAACTGGAAAAACACTTGTGCATCCATGTTTATGGTGGCATTATTCACAACTGCTAAGACATAGAGTCAACCCAAATGCCCAAGAACAGATGACTAGATTGAAAAATGTGGCCCATACACACTACAGAACGCTTCTCAACCTTAAAAAACGAGACACTGACATCTGATACAAAGTGGATGAATATGGAAGATTTAATGCTGAGTGGAACAAGCTATGAGAGAGAGGCATTGTATGTCCCCGCTTGCTCAATATATACCGAATGTCTACACTGTGTGGTAGAAACCCAAAGATGGGAAGGAAACTGTAGATGCCAGACAGTATAGGAGGGGGTAGGTAATGGAGCACGAAAGAGGAGATTGGGGGAAAGAACATTGAATGAAAAGTTATCTGTTAAAAAAAGGTGGGGGTGTCTAGAAACATATGCCAGTCAGTGAATAAAGGAGCCAGTATGTATTAAGTCCCACCTGTAGGCCAAGCAGTAGGCAATATATAGGATCAGTTACCAAACTTACAGGGCCCATCTGCAGGGTGAAAATGCAGAAGCCCATGTTCAGAAGTCACTAAGAATTAGGAACCAGCAGGTTCAGATGGTTTTGTTTGTTTTGTAGAGGTTTCTTGTGCTCACTGGAGAGAGGGAGACAGAGATGGTGAGAGGGAAAGCGAGAAATCATCCACCAGGAGGGTGGCCATGCTGCAGTCCCTTCTCCATTCTCCTCTCGGGATCTTGGGCACACACACACACGCACCCGGCGTGAGTTTAAGCCACTGGGTCTGGGACTCGAAGCATATAACCACTACACCGTCTGCTGGCCCAGATTCTTAAAAAGGAAAATGAGGAGAGGTAGCTATAGAATGTACCTTGTTTAGGGACTAGCAGATGGCATCACGGTTATGTCACTGGATTCCCATATAGTTGAACACGGTTCGAGTCCCAGACGTGGCAGCTTAAAATTCACGCCAGGCATGTGTGCGTGCGTGCCCAAAATCCCAAGAGAATGGAGGAGAAGGGATTGCGGCATGGCCATCCTCCCTGGGGAGTAATTTCCAGCTTTCTGTCTCTCTCTGTCCCTCCTGTGAGTACATGTGCCCTATAGCAAAAACCTTTCTTAGAAAAAAAATACTTGGGGGATCCAGCAGTTAGTGTAATGGCTGTGTCGCTGGACTCCCACGTAGTCGACCGCAGTTCGTGTTCCGGACGCAGTGGCTTAAAACCCACGCCGGGCACGTGTGCATGTGTGCCCAAGATCCCAAGAGGAGAATGGAGGAGAAGGGATTGCGGCATGGCCATCCCCTCTGGGGGGTGATTTCTCGCTTTCTGTCTCTCTGTCTCTCTCTGTCTGGCGAGCACACGCTCCCTATAGTGAAAAAATTCTCAAAAAAAAAAAATACTTGGGGCTGGCAGGTGGCATGGTGGTTACAGGTGCTGGACTCCCCCATGGCCGGACACAGTTCGAGTCTCGGAAGTGGGGGCTTGCTTTCTCAATTTCCCTCCTCTCTCTCTCCAGTCAAAAGTTAAATAAAATAATTCTTTAGAAAAAAAAAAAGTACCTTGTCTCTAATAAATGACTTGACAAATGCTGGCTTATTTTTTTTTTTTATTTTGTATCATTATTATTATTTACACCGTCTTCTAAGACACTTAGCTGTTCGGAGTCTTTCTAGCGATGGTTCTGTGTAGGATAGCTCATCTATAAAAGGAGGGTCGGGGGGGGCTGGTGCATGGGTTGTGGGAGGATTACGGATTACTCTGAGTAAACACCGACAGCTGCCGTTCTTCGCCGTGACCCGTGACACGGGTAAAGGGGTGACACCGCAGTACAGCTCATCAAGCTTACCCGACAGCGTTGTCTTTTCTCATTTGTGGGGGCCCCGCCTAAACCTGACCGTGTCTCTGTTTGTCTTTTCTTCAGGACAGATTTCTGCGTCCACAAGGACGAGCCGTGCGACACTGTTGGTGAGTCCCGAGTTTGAATACTAATCTACGAGCCTAATGCACCCTAGGAGACCTGATGACACCCCCACTCGGGAGGAGCCGTCCTCACACAAACTCTTAACTTCCGTTGCGTTTTCTCTTGTACATTGGTTAACTGGTTTTGCTTCACCCCTCTCTCCTACCCCAGGGAAGTTTTGAAGTGGCCTATGGCAGGAGGCTTCTAGAGGAAGGGTTAGTAAGGAAGATCGGAAAGTTGAAACAGGCCAGGCAGGGACTGTGGTGGCGAAGGTGCAGGAAACCACGTGGCTGGCCGAGAAGTTGGAGTCCTGGGCCTAGTGGCTTGGAAAATATGCTGGGCACGTGTGCATGCTTGCCCCAAATCCCAAGTGGTGAACAAAGGAATTGTAGTTGGGACCAGCAGATGGCGTGATGGCTGTGTTGCTGGACTCCCATGTGGTTGACTGCGGTTCAAGTCCCGGACCCGGTGGCTTAAACTCACGCTGGGTGCGTGTGTGTGCGTGCCCAAAATCCCGAGAGGAGAATGGAGGAGAAGGGATTGCGGTGTGGCCATCCCCCTGGGGAGTGGTTTCTCATTTTCTTTCCCTGTCTCTCTGGCGAGCGCATACACACTATACCAAAAATCTTTCTGAAACAACCAAAAAAACCCGTGTTTCTCGTGGTATCCAGCAGTGGCTGGTTCTGCTGTGTCAGTGAGCCCGGGGACCTTGGGTTATCCTGGACGAGTCTCCACTTTGGTTTCTTAATCCATCAAGTGATTGCTCTGGGTTGGTGATTTACAAGGCCCTCAGAATCTGGTGTATTGACAGCTCACGTTTATATCATCTGTGTCATGTTTATAAGACGAGTTCTCTTCTTTTCATTTTAACTTTAGTTTGCCATAGGATGTATTGTACACACTGGAGAGAGAGCGAAAGAGAGAAATCAACCCCCAAGGAGGATGGCCACACCACAATCCCTTCTCCCCCATTCTCCTCTTGGGACTTGGGCCACGCATACACACACATCCGGCATGATTTTTAAGCTGCTGGGCCCCAGGGCTCCAACCACGGTTGGCCATGTAGGAGTCCAGCGCTTTCACAGCCCTGCTGACCGCTGGTCTAGTTTTGGCTGGTTTGGGTGTGTCTTCACATGGCGTGCTTTGACACTTTATCACACGTGTAGACGTGCCCATTACCGAGATAATCGATAGCAGAAGGGCTTCATGACCTCCAAGGAACTTGGGACGTCCTCTCTAGACCGACCCTCCCTGCCCTCTCCTTCCCTAACCCCTGGCCACGATCCATCTGTATTCCATGTCTATAATTTTGTCATCCCAGCATCTAATTTACTTTCATAGTTTGTTTTGATTGCAAAGAATGGAAAAATAATCTGAATCACCCTAGTAGGTGTTTGCCAAGGCCGGGACATTTTGACCAGCTGCCTTAGCATCTCGGCATCCAGCATGACTTGGCGTTTCCTGACTTCTGCAGAAAATGACATTTCTGCTACCTCGAGTTACACCGGCAAGTCTCCGTGTGGCCCGCGTTGTTTAAGTTGGTCTAGAAGGGTGTTTTGTTTGTGTTCTTGTTTTAATTAGGGCACCTGTCACAGAGTAAAGAGTATGCATCTTGATTTTTGAATGCCTGTCTTCTCTCTCTTGCTCTCTCTCTTTTAGTTTAGTTCATATTTATGGAAATAGTTTTCAAGCAATGTTTTGAATTCTGTTTCAATCCGTGCTATTTTTTGGTTCGTTTGAGAGGTTTTTGCTATAGGGCATGTGCGCTCAGCAGAGAGAGACAGAGAGATAGAAAGTGAGAAATCACCCCCCAGGGGGGATGGCCACGCCGCAATCCCTTCTCCTCCATTCTCCTCTTGGGACATTGGGCACGCACGCACACGCGCCCGGCGTGAGTTTAAGCCACTGGATCCGGGACTCAAACCGCAGTTGACTACATGGGAGTCCAGCGACATAGCCATTATGCCAACTGCTGGTCTCCCCCTCATCATATTTCTTAATGAAAGGAAAAGCCTCCCTTTGCCTTCGCTATGGTCGAGGCACGATCCTGAAGGGAAGGGGGCACGTTCTACAGCCGCTCGAGCAAGACCAGGGTGACAATGCTGAGCCGTGCTGAGCCTGGTCTCTGTGAGGTGCCCTGAGCCCTAAGAGTCCCCGGCTCTCCCTGCTTGTGTGGGAGGACCCCTCCCTCTGTCGCTGTAGCACTGGTCTTGTGCTCTCTGACGTCACAGATGTGACCTCTGACCTTCGAGCAGGGAGTCCTCTGTGAGGGAGGGTTAAGCTTGGTATTGCTGACCAGGGCAGCAGTGTTCTGGAATGAGGCCTTGATTTCTTCTTTCTTTTTTATTTCCCCCATTTTTAGGTTTTTATTGGCCATAGGGTACATGCGCTCACCAGAGAGACAGAGAGAGGGAAAGTAAGAAATTGTCCCCTCGGGGAATGGTCGCACTGCAATCCTTTCTTCTCCATCATTCTCTTAGGATTTGGGGCACGCACACGCATGCCCAGCCTGGTTTTCAAGCTGCCAAGTCTGGGTCTTGAACCTCGGTCGGCCGCGTGGGAGTCCAGCGCCTTAACCACCACGCCACCTGCCAGCCCTTGCTGTGTCTTTTGAGTCTGTTCTGAGAGGGTTAAAGGAGAGCCTGCACATTGAATTCTGTACCAGTTGTCCCAAATCCGATGACCTGTGGTCTTCGGCAAATGTACCTGTGTGTCAGCAGTCCCACTGGTATTTATAATTAGGCTTTTGACCATATTCTGTGCTTTTTGAGTGGTTTTAGGAAAGGCTTCAATTTGCGGAATCAGATGTGCGTGCGTCAAGCCTTCGGGGTGTAGCTGCTTTGGCAAGTCCTGCCCTTCTGGTCATTCCATGGAGAAATTGACCACCCATGTCAAACAAGTAGGAAGGTCGCATTCTGTCAATTCTAGAGTTTTACATCCCCACAAATTCAGCCTGGATTTCTCCGCTACTAGAATTTTTTTCTTTTTTTTTCTTTTCTTTTTTTTTTTTTAGGGAAGGTTTTTGCTATAGGGCGCATGAGTTCGCTCACCAGACAGACAGAGAGAGACAGAGAGACCGAAAGCGAGAAATCACCCGCCATGGGGGAATGCCCACGCCGCAATCCCTTCTCCTCCATTCTCCTCTCGGGATCTTGGGCACACACGCACACGCGCCCGGCGTGAGTTTAAGCCACCGGGTCCGGGACTCAAACCTCAATCAACTACGTGGGAGTCTAGCGCCATAGCCATTATGCCAACTGCTGGTCCCAGCTACTAGAATTTCTGAGAAAACAAAAAAGCATTTACTTCTATAAACTAGTTCCTTCTCTCACGGGTTTAGCTTCAGTATCAGTAGAGAGTCTTTTCTCAAACTTGCCAACTACATGGTGTCTCGATGTTGCAGAGAGGCTTTTAAAAGACTATAGGAAGGAGACCAGCAGGTGGTGTGGTGGTTAAGGCACTGGACACTCCCACATGGCCGACCAGGGTTCGAGTCCTGAATCTGGTGGCTTGCTTTCTCACTCACTTCCTCTCTCTCTCACTCTCACCTTCTGTGTCTCTCTGGTCAAACTAAAAATTAAATGAATGAATAAATAAAATAAACATAAAAAAAAAAAGACTATAGGAATTCTTGGCACCAGCAGCAGATGGCGTAATGGTGATGTCGCTGGACTCCCATGTAGTCAACCTTGGTTCAAGTCCTGGATCTGGAGGCTTAAAACTCACACTGGGCACATGTGCATGCATGCCCAAGATGCTGAGAGAAGAATGGAGAAGGGATTGTAGCATGGCCATCTCCCCTAGGGGGTAATTTCTTTCTTTCTTTCTGTCTCTCTGGCAAGCACATGTACCCTATAGCACAAATATCTCTAAAACAAAATCAAACAGACCAAACAAACAGACTGTAGGAATTGTCATGTCTAAGGAGAACAGACCGCAAGGGCAGGGGACCCTGGGGCATTTCCTGCCTTTACTTCTGGGTGACTGTCCTTTGCATGGCTTGAAGATACATAGTAGGGGCCCAGCCATGGTGGCATAAGTGTAGCAGGGCACTCTGCAATGCTGGAAGCCATGTGGAGGGTCGGGGTTCAGTTCCCCGAGCTGACATTGGGTGTGCATGCGTCCACAGCTCTGGCTGACAGGGAAAGACTGGGTCAAAAATTACTTTTTCAGGGTACTTCTCTCTCTGTGTCTTACTCATAAAGGAAATAAACAAAAATACACAGGGACTGGGGTGAATAAAAATGTATGTGGATAAATAAATATACATATCAACATGTACACACCTTTTTTTCTTTTTTTTTTTTTTTTTAAGTTTTTTTTTGCCACAGGGTATGTGGGCTCGCTGGAGAGAGAGACAGAGACAGAGAAGGAAAGTGAGAAATCAGCCCCCGGGGGATGGCCATGCAGCAGTCCCTTCTCCTCCATTCTTTTTTTGTATATATATATAATTATTTATTCATTCATTTATTTTAATTTGACCAGAGAGAGAGAGAGAGAAAGATTGAGAAAGCAAGCTGCCAGATCGGGGACTTGAACCGTGGTCAGCCATGCGGGAGTGTCCAGCACCTTAACTACCACGCCACCTGCTGGTTACCCTTCTCCTCCATTCTCATCCTGGAATTTTAGGCACATCCACACACATACGTGACTGGCATGTTTTTTCAAGCTACCGGGTTTGGGACTTGAACTGCAGTTACCATGTGGGGGGTCCAATGCCTTAACCGTCCTTCATGTGCTGGTCTCTATGCATATACCTTTCTGCACACCTGCTTGGGTGCGTGCAGGCATGTGGAAGCCGGTAGCGTGAGTACTTCCTAAACCGTAGGTCTAAGTGAGCGTTGATCTGAGTGTGCAGGTTCGGTGAATTCTCTACAATCTCCTGTAAGGTCTTCCCTGGAAGTCCCCTTTGACCTGGTGACTCCACAATCAAATCCCATCAAGAAAGGCTTGTGTTTGGGTCTTGGCAGGAAACAACTGAAACCAGTTTACCCCAGGGGGCCAA